AGCCCCTCGTTTGTTGTCCTCTTCTCCCTCTCTGCCTACGGTTTACCGGGCAGTTCTATTTGACGATATATATATATATATATCTTCTCCCTCTCTGCCTACGGTTTACCGGGCAGTTCTATTTGACGATATATATATATATAATTTTGAACTAGGCTATATTCTTCTCTCGAATATTTCATCATGTTTCAAATGTTGCAAATCACAGCATCTTCGCTTCATTGCATGGCAGGGCCCCAATTTGTGGTATGATATCATGTATGGACATGAAGAAGGGGCAAACTTGACTTGGTCGGAGTTCAACTTGTCCCCTCTTTTCAAGTCTTTTTGTGTTTTCTGTTTTTTGGGGACGTTGTTAAAGTGAACCTTGGGCTTCGTTTGACTGTGTTTGCAGGTCGTTGTCGTCATGGCAGACAGCGAGAGAGAAGTTCGCAAAGAGAAGCCTGATTCGTGTGTGGAGAAGCCACTGGTGGAATATCTGGTCGAGCATCACTTAAGCTACATCAACGGCGGTGGAGATCACAATGTGATATTCGCCAGCGACGACGGGAGGACGAGGGCGATGGACACGGCTGCAATCATCCCGTTGGTCAGACCTGGGCATGACATTTTTTCCGTGTCAGCTCCGAATTCTGTGCGCGCAGAAGGCGTCACACCTGCTGATGATTCTAGTTGATGTATCGCTTCGCAATACTGGATGACCTGACCCCTCTGCTTGTCTGATGAACAATATCGTCGATCTCGATGAACAAAATTGTCGTGGGGGAACTCTTTATGTCGCGGTCTGCTCCACTCTGCTCAAATATTTACTTCAGTCAAACTATGGAAGTGCTCTCCGAACCGTGCGAGATGGTCGCCCATCCCACGGCTCTCCAACTAGTATCAACGGCTAAAACAGTTGAAGAAAAAACAATAAAACTATTGAAACAGTCCAGACATCGTCATTTTTTTTATAGAGAGACATGAGAGATTTGCAAGTTTATCCTCAATGAATGGTCTTTGACGCTTCAAAGACGTACCTGGCATAGGTATAGGAGAACGCTATTCTGCAGACAGCAAAATGGAGATGGAGACGGAGACGAGTGTGGGTTCCGTTGCTGCGAGGTTTGACGTTGGCTCGATAACACTCCCTCCAAATCGAGAACGAATCACAATACATGTCAAGTCGTTTTTTTATAAATTTTTAACCTTTCGCACGGCAATGAGCAGAACCTTACACATGCGCCTCGATTGATGCTTTGAAGAATATAAACGGGGAGCAAGGCGGAAATAAAATTTCCGTATGAGCTTGCTGCAGCCTGCAGGAGCGTAGCTGCAGTCTTGTGCTACCAAGCGATGGGTGAGGTTGAGCAACAGTCATAGGGAGTAGTCAGCAATGCCTGTCACTTGAACCGGATGGAGAGAGAGAGAGAGAAAGAGAGAGAGAGAGAGAGAGAGAGAGAGAGAGAGAGAGAGAGAGAGAGAGAGAGAGAGAGAGAGAGAGAGGTTGCCTGGCGGCGATAGCAGCGCCACTGTGTACGCACAGCGGCATAAGATTTTGTTGGGCAAGACTCTGAATTTCCGAGGAGTTTCTCATGATTGGCAAAGTGTTCTCATTTCATCATCTCTCATGTTGGCTTGCATTTCATGTGCTGGGCGGATCATACTGTCGTGTGAGAAGCAGAGTGGATTAAATTGTGGGTTCATTTCCATCGGTCTAGGAGCAAGATATGGTTTAACGTAGATCACTTCTGTATGACAACATATATATAATATTATATATATATATATATTCAGCCTCCTGATGAGTCGGTTAAACTCCGACGAAACAGTTTGTCACAGCCCCTCGTTTGTTGTCCTCTTCTCTCTCTCTGCCTACGGTTTACCGGGCA